AGGGGATCTCGGAAGTATGGAAGAGGAAAAGGACATTCATGGTGTTGAAAGACCGCTGGAAAGAATTGGGCTCACTTGTAAGTGAGTAGTATGGTTTCCACCCTACAGTCTGTTTCTAAAGTTTCTGCTGCTTCCTTTTTCTTTCTTTACTAGCATTATTTTTCCTATGAGAATACTAAAGCTGCATTTTTTCTCCTCTATTAAAAAACATTGGCTTTTAGATACTGTAATCCTGAACATAAAATCAGTATACATCTAATTTTAATTGCCTTGCAGCCTTTCTTGTGACAAAAAGACCTTTGCTTCTGCTCAGTTTTACCGATCAGTTCTCACCCAACTTCTGGCACAGGAAGGAGGCTGCAAAACCTGAGGGATGTGTTGCTGTCTAACTCCTGGAGAAAGATTGAGACCCATTGGGACCCCACCAGGGGAGCAGCAGCTGGTGCCACATGTTGATTTTTCCTTGGATTTAAACTGTTCCTGGCAAGCCTCTTAGACAGCAAGTGTTTTGGTAAAACCAACCTATAGCATGACGGAGTGTCTGAGATAAATTTGTTACTGTGAGTAGCACTCCTGGTGCTGCTGCAAATCTCCCAGAACTCCTCGTGCTTACACTTTCACAGCATCTTCCTGTGAACATTTCTTACAACAGGTGGAGTCATCTTTCCTACGAAAAGCTTTGCAGGCATGATACTAGCCATAGTGTACTGGAAAAGCTGAGTGTTGGCTGGAATCAATGTGTTTTTCTACCAAGGCTTGGCAAAACTGTTTGCTTTTCCCCTTTCCTTTCAAGCTATCGCGTTGAATCTGATGACTGCAGACTGAAGAAGTGGCTGAGACTTTTAGAAGGACTGGCAAGAGTTTAAAGGCCTTGTTCTTTGATGTGTGCAGGAGGCAGGAACTTCTTGCATAATATTTGGCCTCAGTTTCTTCTCCCTCCCTCTGGAAGCAACCGTCTTGTAATGCCACTGTGTGCATGCAGCTTGCATGCAGAGGGGAGAAAACACCATACACATGTACAGTTATCTCCTGGCCCTATTTCACCCCCATCCATCCATAGACTATTTCTCTTACTTTTCTCAGCTCCAAATAGTGGGAGCGTTCACTCTGCAGCTGTTAGTACAGATAAGAAGGAAGCACATTTTCTTGATCTGCAAGCCTCCAGCCAGACCCAGACTTCATGGAAGCCTTCACATGCTGGTCTGAAGCCCCTCTTGCAGCTCATTGCAAGCCTGATCTGAGCTGCAGAATTTTTTACAATCAACATAGTCTCATGACTGCCTCACCCCCGGATAATGTAGCCACAGATGTGGGTGCTAGGAATGTCTGTCTTTATTAGAATTAAGGCTACAGTGCAGGAACCAAGCAAGAGGCTATTTCGTGCCTGCATGCCCTGACTACACTGTCATTCCAACTGGTATCACATAGATGTTTGATCTGCTGCTTATATTTTAAGATGTGTCTTAGGCAGATTCTACTTGACTGGGACATGAGCAGGTTTACTGCTAAATGTGCCCATTGAGATGGAGCTACTAACCCAAGCTTTTAGTTAAGTTTCACACTGTGGAGGTTTTTCTTCTAGAGTCTGATATAGAGAGAACACAGATCTTAGCATGAAAATATATATACTTTATTTTGATATTCTGTATTTATTTAGCTATTTAGATGTTCGTTATCCAGCATAATCAAGAGGTCAAGGAAATGCCCAGTGATCTTTCAGCAAAACATCATTCCAGAGTTCTTCTGAGAGCACTTTCCACATTCAGGGTTGTCCAGAAAGCCTAGGATCCAGCTACCTCTAATACCAATGAGAGCATAGAATCACAGTGAGTGTAGCTACCAGCCTTGGAACTGGCATGAAAATCTTTGCTTTGCTCTGGTGCCCATTTCTAGAAATGTATAGGCCTGTTGCTGGCAGAGGTCAGATGCTGAGTTCTTTGTAAAATGCACTTATGTCAATGTGTGATGTCTTTCAAACCTCATCCTGGAGGCTACTTCTTGAATTTTAATTAATTCTATTCCTAACGGAATTGAGAAAAGAAGTTGTGAAACCTGAAGTTTCACAGTTATATTTAAATGCTAAACTGTCTTCAGGTTATAGTTTCCAGTGAATCACAGGTAAGATCTCATTTCCCTTCAGCTGTCTCCTGGTGATGGGAAGGAGATGAATAGGAGGTCACAGGGAGCCAGCATCATAAAGTGTCTCAAGGAAAGGATTTTCAGAATTTCTTGTAAGACGTATGCCTCTGATTCAAAGCAAAACCAACAATTCTTCTGAAATATTAGTGCACGCCAGGGAAAAGTATTCCTTTCTTTGTTTCAGCCAAATGGACTTAATGTCCATCTCAAAGTCCTTTTCTGTCATATTCTATTTCTATGGCTGAATGATTTCACTAGATTTCTTCTTTATCAGATGTTTTCTCTACTTGTAATTCCACAAATTGGATTCCTATCTCTGCAGTGTTTTCTCATGTCTGCTAACAGGATTACCTGACATATGAGACTGAAAAAAACAATCACAACTGGCCAGTGCTGTGTATCTATAGGAGCCTTAGAATCAATTTTTAATTGTAAAAAGTAAGAAGTGCTAACTCAGCTGTCCTTTGGTTCTCTAACAGCTACCAGGCATCCCGTGATATTAAAATATCACTTTTTTTCCCCCAATTCCTTAGCATTTATTTTGAAGATTGCTGCAAACAGGCATAGACCTTTAAAGAGTTATTCAAGTATTTAACACAAATCTGCAGGATGTTAGGCCTTAATAGCTGCTGTGGGAAAGAGAAGCTGCGCTGGGAACAGAATTGCTTGTGTGCAGCACAGGTCAGAATTTCGAGAAGGATTTGCAAATCGGTACACAAACTGCAAGTGCTTTTGGTGGGCAGGTTCCCAGCTCATCTGGGGGAAACACTAAAGGGAGATCTCTGTTTCTGGGGGAGTGTGGATAACAGTCCTCTTCTCCTCCAAGCCTGATTCACTGAGCTTTCCCTTCCATTTTGACAGATGAATCAAGAGGCCTTTGTACAGCAGTGACGAGTCACTAGTAGGAAAAGAGTGAGCTGAGTGAGAAGTCATCTTTCAAACTCCGGCATAGTTGCACTCTCATCATTAGTACACTTTTCTTCTCTGCTAATGGGGTCAGAGCCATAGCAACATATTTCCTATAAGATTCCCTCCTTCATCTACACACCAGATAGTTATGTTTCCATACCTTTGAAAGAAGTTCCTATAGCAGGAGAAGAAAGCCCTGTCAAACAGGGCACAGTCCAACAGCAGTTTCTTACGCTTCTTCAGCTTGCAGAGAAATTACTGTATCACAGTTCTTCTGCTTTTTGCATAATGGTGGGATGTGGGGCTCAGCACTGCATGAGAAGGTAGTCTTGTGAAAAGATTTAAGTTACTGATTTTTTATCAGCTGCGCAGACATAAGAGTAGTTAACAGCTAAGTGACCCATGAAATACCAGCGTGTGCTTCTAGCCAAACTGCAGCTCTTTTGAAACAGGAAGTATACATGGGAACTACATGATCTACACCAAGTAGTGTCTGATAAATCCCAGGTCTAATCTTCAGCAATTTTTTTAAGAGAAATGGTTAACAGAAAAAGCTCTTAAGGTGTATTATTTTTATTATATTATTTTTATTAATGCCTTTGAATGTTAATGCTACTGAGGAGTCTTGGGTAGCGATTCTCCTGAACGCAGCTGAACAGCACATCTATCACTGGAGTTCCCAGCTGAGGCACTCGGTGATGCTATGTCTGGAATCTCTCCACTCCCTCCTCTCTAAAGGTTTGAAGGACAAATAGCTGTGCTCCCCACCCCTCTCTGTAACCTGGCAAATACAGTGCATCCATTGTGCTGGTCAAAGGACCCAGGCTAACATAATTTACTTGTTAACTGGGTTTCTACAATACCATGGCTTGTTTGTTTTTCCAGAAATGATCAAATCAAGGGCAAAACCTGTTGTGCTGTGCTCTCTACAAATGACGTCTGGGGGAAAAAAAAAGTATATTTCCAAGTTGAAAGCCAAAATAAACTTATTTGGCCAACAAAAGATTGCCTCAAGTGTCTTGGAGATATTTGAATCACAGGACCAAAGTTCCCAGTTCATGAGCATGATACAGTTGGAAATAAGGGTAGGTACAGCCAAAGGATGGAGCTGGGATGAAGAAACAGAATACCAGTCCAATGATCCTTTACTATATTCTAATAGGGAAGCTCTGGCCTTTAACAACAGTTTAAATAATACTATAGATGTCACCTACGATGCCCTTACACATAAGTCAGCACATTTCCCCAGTAGCCTGAAATGGCTGTTTCCCAGCCACTTACCTATCAGAACCTCTGTGGGCAGCCTGCGCCAGCACTCTGTCACCTGCACAGTAAATCATAGAATCACAGAATGGTTTGGGTTTGAAGAAACATTTAAGATCATGTAGTTCCAACTCCCTGTTATAGGCAGGGACACCTCCCACTAGACCAGGTTGCTCAGAGCCCCATCCAGCCTGGCCTTGATTGCTTCCAAGAAGGGGGCATCCCCAACCTCACTGGGCAACCTGTTCCAGTGTCTCACCGCTCTCACAGTAAAGAATTTCTTCCTAATATATTGCCTAAATCTACCCTCTTCCAGTTTAAAGCCATTTCCCCTTGTCCTGTCACTAGCACTGAATGGAAGTACTAAATGAGTGCTTCCTGGTATTCAACTGTAACCCACAGTGATTTAAAAGTGATGGTGCTGCTTTTAATGACTCTTCAAAATAACGTTTAAAACCCCTGTAGCACAAAACCGACGATCTCTTCGCTGGGAGTGCAAATATCTCAGGCACACCACTAGAGGGAAGAGTGTCTCCACCTTCAGTATGCAGCGGGCTGCGAGATGCTTCTCAGAGAGGTGCTGCATTGGCGTGGGGATGACTGTCCCTGGAGGTGTCCGAGAACCACGTGGATGTGGCACTGAGGGACACGGTTCGTGGGCACGGTGGGGTGGGTCAGCAGTTGGACTAGCTGACCTTAGCCGTCTTTTCTAACCTTACTGATTCTGTGACCCTAATCTGTGCGGTGATTTTTGAGGAGAAAACGAGGGCCATTGATTCTAGTTGCAAGAACACTAGATAAACCTGGCCTCCATTTTCAGAAATGCTGATCAAAACTTAACTTTAACACTAATTTGAGAGCAGAAATCCAGCTGTTTTGAACATGCAGCCTTGGGACCTCAGGTGGGTCACTAACAAGGTAACTGAATTTTTGTGATCAAACAAAAGTGAACCTCCCGAGACCACATTTTTACTCAGCAAATGTGTAATTGCCTTCTTCTTCCTTCCTTCCAAGTGAAATTAAAGAAGAAAGAGTGCTCCAGGAGCATCCCAAATGCACTCTGGCCACCAGGCCCTAGGGCAGACTGAGGCTGCTGAGCACCAGCCCCTGAGGGACATGTGCTGTTTAGCATTTACTTTTGGAACAACCTCACACTAAATTCCAGGGGCTGGGTTTCTGAAACAGGAATGCAGACGACACACTAAGAAACCCCATTCGTTATGCTACCAGAGTGAAGCCCCAGACCCGCGGGTAGCACGCACTTGTAGACGCCGAGCTACAGCAGCGCGCGCACCCCGCCGCGTGTTGTTGCAGCTGCAAACGCGCACGCGCGCTCCCCTTGCGCGCGCCGCTCCCGAGCGGTTCGGTCGCCATGGCAACGGGAGGAGCCGCGCCCGCCTCCAGCCCGCGCTCGCCGCTTGCCGCCGCTGGGCCGGGCCGGCTGAGGTGAGGTGAGCGCGGGGGAAGCGGGGAATGGGACGCACCCCGAGAACGGCTCGAGGAGGCGGGTGGGTTAGGGTCAGCAAAAGCCCGGTGACTGTCTTCTAACCGGCTTTCATTTTCTTCCTCGGGCCGTCGTGGTGCCTATGACCAGAATGTCGTGGGATCCGTCCGAAGGGGTCATAAGGCACATCATCCGCCAGGCGGGGCAGCAGTGTGCCGCCCACGGGCACCCCGTCTCCGAAACAGCGGTGGCTTTCATGGTAAGAGCGATTCCCAGCTGCTGGCAGGGCTACCGTGGTGCGCCATCCCCAGTTTCACCTGAGGCAAAGAGTTCCCCTCCTGTCACCAACGCGAAGCATGGACAAAAATCAGGGGCTGTCAGCAACCTGTCTAGAGTGAGGTGTCCCTGCCTATAGCCGGGGCGTGAAACTATGTGATCTTAAAGGTTCTTTCCAGCTCAAACCATCTACTTCATGTCAGGGTGCCGAAGCTGGAATGGCTGCGGCCCAGGAGTGACCCGAGCTTGGAATGGCTCTGTTTTGGGCTGCCCAGGAGTCCTAAAGGGCAGGAGGGTAACTCTCAGTATGGGGCCTTAGAAATGTGAAAAAGCATTTTCATCCCTCTGAAACTCTGCGTGTGAACACGGGGCCCTGAGAAGGCCTTGCCAAGTCTGGCTTGTGGCAAAGAATAGCAATGACAGGAACATGAACCGTTGATAAATCACAAGGAGGACCAAAATAAATGTCAAAAGACACAGTTTTAATTATTTCCCCTCAAAGATAAAGAAACATCGACTGCAGAGGAGATTTTTCACAACTTAAGAGGTTATTTGCGTGGAGTAGAAGCTGTGATATAAATTAAAAGCTTGCTTTTGGCCATTTCTAGGTGAAAGCTGTTGTTCTAGATCCAAGAAATGACTTTGATGTGGATCAAATCCTTACAAAAAAGGATGTGCAAAATCTTATCCAGGTAATTACACAGAATCACAGAATCACAGAATTGTAGGGGTTGGAAGAGACCTCCAGAGATCATCGAGTCCAACCCCCCTGTCAAAGCAGGTTCCCTATACCAGGTATTTCCGACAGGATGTTGAGTGTCAGTGCCTTGCTGAGACTGTATCCTTATATGTGGTAATTATAACATCATTTTATCTTGATACAAACATTTTCAGAACTCTAACGACAGTTTCTACCATAACTCTGTAGCTGAAGATTATGTATTCACTTAGGTTAATGAGTAGAATTTGTTGTGTCTAGGGAATGGAGGCAACTGCTCTGCAATGTTTCAAAACCTGTCTCGCAATTGTGAGCAGTTAAGAAGTTTCCCAGCTAATTCAAAAGAACTCACCTCCGTGTCTCTCTCCTTAGCTCTGTGTTTCAAGGCTGATTGACACAACAAACCCATCCCTGAGCACAATGAAGATGCAAGTTTACTTTGATTTGAACTATGCAAACAGAGGTAATTTCAATATAGTAATATTTAATTTTTAATAGAAGCGGTTCATTCTGACTTTAAACTTTCACCTCTCCCTATAGAATCACAGATCATAGAATCATAGAATGGCCTGGGTTGAAAAGGACCACAAAGATCATAGAGTTTCAACCCCCCTGCTATGTGCAGAGCTAATCATGATTCCTTCTTAAATGAATGCTGGTGCTGAAGTAAAATAACGAGCCCTGGAGAAATGTATTATATAGGAGTGAGTGTTTCAGCCAGCAAAGCTCAGGCTGCTCCTGTGTATCTGGTAGAGAACCACTACATGGAAATTCATTGGTGTGCCTGAAAGGGAAACTGATGGCCTATCAATATCCATAATTGAGAGCAAACTTCAATAACTGTGGTTTTAACCAAGTCCGCTTTGGTCTCATCAGCGGCAACTTTATATGGTCTCAGCAAGGGAGTGTGGAAGTGGAAGGAAAGTGAGATGGAGAGAAGGTCTCTGCTGTAATGAACTTCTTACCTCAGTGGGACAGGGAGGGTCGGCTGGGACACAGAAAATAAAACAAGAGCAGACAAGAAGTAAATATTTCCAGAAGATGGGAACTGTCATGGAAGTATTTTCTTAGCATGTAATAAAAACAAAAACAAGCAAAACTAGGAAGCTGTTCCAAAGTCTTCCAGATGCAGTAAGCTCAGTAAGTCCAGTAAAACGACTTGTGAGATGCTGTGTAATATTCAGATTTTGTCTTGTAACTTCAGGTGTGTATGAAATGTGTGTTAGGTGTCCTACTGCACTCATGGAGTCTGGTAAGGCAGAGTTGCTGCTTTAAGTTGCCCTGAACCATCTGGCCTCTCCTGATGCTAATCTTGCTAGTTTTGCTAATATTTAACTTCACTTCAGTTAAATAGAAGAGCGTGATACCTTGTACATGTCTTTCACATATCACTGATTCAGAAACCTTAAATTGCCTGTGGTTATGAATTGCCCTGTCTGTATAAGTCAAATTCCACAGAATACAGGTGGTGCTTTCTAACTGTCCTTCTTTTTTCAGCTGAATTACTCAGAGAGCATCGCCATGTTCTGGAGGGCAGGTTGGCTCCTCTGCTCAGGGACATCACAGATAGTCGTCCCCACATGCAAGAGGAAATGAAGAATGTGTATCAAAGGATTGTTAACTATGTGCTGCTGAGCTCTGGCCTGGGATCCCCAACAGACATTGAGGTTGTCAGGGAGGTGACAGGTCCGTAATCGCTCTCTTGTGAAATTGGACTTTGGATTTCTCTTGTTGAAGAATTAAATGTCACCTTTTTGTTGATCTTTAGAAACAGATGTGCTAAATTGTCATGACTGCACGTTGCCCAAACTGTCACTGCTCAGCTTTGATGTCTACATTTGCCGTGAATTTCTGCTTCCTGTAGCTGTTGGTCAGGAGAGAATATTTTTGCATGTTTAATCCCTTTTTTCCCTATTCTCTCACTTTCCAGCTGCATTGCAGAGTGTGTTCCCCCAGACAGCTCTGGTTCCCTTCCTATCACTCAGTAAGAAGGATAAAGAGCAAGAGCTAAAAAATCTTACCATGCTAGTCACAGGAATTCGGTTGTACAACAAGGAATGTGGGAAAGGAGGAAAAGGCATCGATGACTGTAAGTATACAAGAATGCATTTGGGTTGTCAATTCCTGACCTTCTTCACCGGAGTGCCTTCACCAGTTATACCCTGCCTCACTAGATAAACAGCTTTGAGCCAGGATCTGTAGAGCTGAAGGAAAAGAACAAATTTAGTATTTGATTACAGGTTTCCATGCAGGCTACTACTCTGCTGTTAAGAGAGAATCCTGTGTGGTTTAGAATCATAGAATCATAGAATCTTTAGAGTTGGAAGGGACCTTTAAAGGTCATCTCCTCTGCAGTGAACAGGGACATGCATAGCTAAACCAGGTTGCTCAGAGCCTACTCCAGCCTGACCTTGAAAGTCTCCAGGGCTGGGGCATCCACCACATCTCTGGGCAAGCAGTGCCTCAAGGATTACACATATTAACCTCATGCACTAATTTACTTCAGAAAAACTTGCTCTTAGATCTCTTGCCATTAAGTGAATTAAATGTGTAACTTTTGCCTTAAAAAGCAGTTAATTAAGACCTTGAAAGGGCACTGTTGACCCAATTAAAATTTTCTGTTGAGTAAGAGTAATGAGAATTACACTTAAAGAGAAGTTGCTTGGGCAATATCTGAATTCTGACAATTTAGAGTTACTTCTTCAGCTTCTTAACATGTTCTTCACGTGTTCTCTTTTGCATTTGGAAACTTCCTACTTGTTTCATGTGTACAGAACATCAGTAGGCATCTTGGAATTTTTGAAAACGTGTCTTTGGAACAGGGCAAGAGTTACCTTTGTATTGGCATTTTACAAATGAGGAAAGCTGTCACCTTCAGTGCAACTTTAGTTGTGCACTACTGAACTGCATCTACTGCAAAGCAAGACTCCGCACTGTCCTCCACTGTTGTATTTCCACAGCTGTAATTCTGACTTTACTGTAAGATACAGTGGTTGAATCTGTACACAGACATTTGGGAATGTAAGGCTAGAGTTCAATATTTAAATGGAATACTGCTTGGCTCTAATATTGCACTGTAACCATTTGCTCGTGTTTTCAAGCACTTTACATGTATGTATCTTGTATTTGTTCTGTATAAACAGTGCCAGCCATTCTGAAAGAAGCCATCCCAGCAGCCACACAATCTATTGAAGACCATCTTAATGCTTGCCATGTGCTAGCCCACCGTTACACTGCTCTGTTGGAATCCATGCATGAGGACCAGAACAGATACAGGCAGCTTAGTTCTTTAAAACTGAAAGAAGCACTGTTCAATGTGAGGCAGTATGAGGCCTTCCTTTGCATCCTTCTGGTGAGTTACCACCTTGTTGTATCCCATAGGGTTTTATTGCAGTAGAAGGTATCCAGGTTACCTTCTTGTACAGGACTGGAAAAAAATCAACATGAAAGAAATCAGAAATAATCAAAATCAGATGTTTCTCAGCATATGAGAACCTACATAATCTGTCATGCTGAGCTCAGTACCAAACATGCTGGGTAAAAGGCAACGTGCATTAACTGTTTGTTGCAGTGTGACTGTGATTCCACTTCGGTTCTGGAGGTTTCCTTTCCTGGGAAGGATGTGTCTTTTTATCACCAAAGGACTGCAAATGTAGGACATCTGCCACGTTTGCATTCTGAGACTCAGTCTGCTCAGACACTGCACAGATGACTGGAGAAAGTGGGATTCTGCCATCAGACACCTAGTAAGAAAAGCCAGATGACCTGAAATTAACTGGAGAAGATGTGGGTCAAGAAGATTTTCTGCTACTAAAAGCTATCACCCAAAAGAAAGATGAAAGAAAAATTATACATCATCTCAGTTTTAGGCTGTAGACATCCCCAACACTTGTGGGGTCATCCAAAGCCTTAAGAATACAATTTAAATTCCTGAAACTTGTTACACTTATGAAGATAGTTTTATTTGCCTTTTGAAAGCTGTTGGTTTTTTTTTCCATTAGCCTATCTTTTATGTCATAAAGCTTAAGAAAATATTTCTTTTAATAATTTTTTTTGTTACTAAACACTTATTTTCTTTTACTATCATACTTCTTACCTGAAGCACATTCTTTTTCCAGTCTGACACAATTACAAGTGGTCAAGAAATTGAAAAGTTGAATGTGGAGTTTGCAGCAACAATGGAGCAGTTTAAAAGCACCATTCAGAATAAGGTCTCCGTAGATACCAAAGAAGCTTTTGTAAGTATTTGAAAGGAAAACCTCTTTGACTTTAATTATTAAAAAATCATGAAACCATTGCAAAATACTTTGCAGGAGTGGTTTTGCCTAGTTTAAGAAAAAAGCTGCAGCTGAAAACAGCACTCTGTGTGGTTTTTGGGCAGGTAGCTAAACTATTGGACTTGATCTCAAGGTAAAAGAAGAGCAAGGTACAAAATGGGGAGAAGGAATGAAATGCTATTTTACCATGTCTTGAGTCGTTTGTTAGTATTTTTAGCATTACAGCAATGTTCTCCTGTGATGTTTCAATATTTCATCCTTCAGAATAAGTAATTAGAAAGCAAAATAAAGTCTAATGTGGAGGGGGGAAGGAGGAATACCATGCACACCTACATGTGCCTACTCTGAGCAGAAAACTTGTGGAAAGAGGGTGATCTGGCACTGCATGTGTGCTTGTGATTTTACAAGCCAGACGTTCTCATCTGGAGAACATTTACGCTGCTCATCGAGTCGCTCAAATCAGTTTTTCTCCTGTACCTTCACAAAGCTTAAGTGCTCGGTACACACTTGAACACAGTAGCAAAGAGAGAGGGAAGAGATGGGTAGTCTTTCCTCAAGGGTGGGTGAAAGGAGGAAGCCCAGTTTAGGCTCTGTAACTTCTGGAAAATCATGTCCCTTCCCTGGTGACAGAGGAAGTCTGTGAAGATTCAGTTCACCGACCTGAGTTTAACCTTTCTGAATACACACTGCCCTTCTCCTCAGAAGCTGTCTCCTCCTGGCTGCTTCCTAGGTTTCTTCTCTTCAAGTTGGTTAGTCGTTTCTTCTCCTCTGCCGAGGGCAGAATATGATTTGATTTCAGATGTTTGCAGATGGAGACTTCCTTGTTAAAAAACAGATTCTGTTGCCTTTGGCTAGTTGCTGAGAAGCTGAATCCTGAGGGAATGTGAAGAAGCAGAATGTTCTGCCATTTAAAATTACAGAATAAGGACTATATTTGTAGTAAGCCTTTATTTCAGAAGACAGTAGATTTTATTAATATTCCTTTTATTATATATAGTTTGTTACAGAAAGAATGGTTTTGATCCTTGCTTCCTTTCCTTTCATTTCTTCCAGTTTTGCAACCTTAACATTCTCACCATGCTGTGATGCTGACAGATTCCAGACCCAACTCTTTTGACCGTTCATGTAATAATGCTGGTAACATGCATGAAGCACATGGTGTTAGCATCCAGCTAGGATCAGCTGAAAATTTTCTCATAAACACTGCATGTTTAGATGTTACCAAACACATGATTAAAGTAACTATTTATACTCCAAGCTGAAAGGCTTCTTCTATATGAGAGTACACAAGGGTGTGAGAGTTGCTGCTGTTTGGAATGCCGTACCCATCTGAAGAGGCTTGCACACCATTTGTCTGATACACACCATAGCTTGGCCACTGTGGCACAAAGTCACTCTGGAAGCAGAATGACAAAGACAGGTCCTTTGAAGATAGGAGCTGGGAGGTTATTTCATTTGGTAGTTCAGTCGGTGTTGTTCACCTGGTTCTTCCTGTATAATTCATTTCCAGTTACAAACCTGCAGTGTCAGTGAAGCTCTCAGTTCCAGGTATGGTTTTGGAGTAATCTGTTTGGAAAAGACTTCGGAGTGAATCGTAGAATCATAGAATGGCCTGGGTTGAAAAGGACCATAAAGGAAAGACTGGATGTTGTGTTGAGGGACATGGTTTAGTAGGAGCTATTGGGAATAGGTGAACGGTTGGACTGGGTGATCTTTTAGGTCTTTTCCAACCTTGGTGATTCTATGATTCTATGATTCTATAACAATCATCTAGTTTCAACCCCCCTGCTATGTGCAGGATTGCCAACCCTAGAAAAGTACCATTCTGGCCTGTGGCCACACATATTAGCTGCTTGGACACTGAGGTGGCAGTTCCATTTTCAAAGCCCTGGGCTTCCCCCAGAGTTTCTGAGTGCTGAAAGCCTTGTAGATCAGGTCAGCTTTGTTCATGTCATGGATTGTTGCGCACAGCATATGGGTTATGTTGCAGATACAAAATGATTCTGGATTTCAGATCATTTTCTTTTTTTTTTTTTCCCTAGCCTCTTTTTGTTGCAGCTTTCAACCTATGGTCCAGGTTTCAGGATGAGATACTTCTGCTAAGCTTCCTCACAAATATGACTAACTCTCTGCAGCAGTTCTTGGAAACCCAGTCACAGCTTTTTCCTGAGGAACTGCTAACATCTCTTCTGGAAGGGGTGACTGTGAAAACAGATGAGGAGAGGATAAGAGAAACCACGGGTACTGAAAGTTATTACCACTTTGATTTCCTTCGTTTCTCAAGAGTATTGAGGTGGTGATGTTTTGTTTTGTTTGTTTTTTGCCAAAATCATTTTTTGTAAAGCTGATACCCCTAATAAACCAAGTTATATTCAAGGATACGCACTGTTTGTGAGTGAGTGTGAATGAAATAGGAGTACTTGATATTACCATCCTTTTGCAGTTCTGTTTCCAAATAAAACTAATGCTTTTGAAGCAGGACCCCCCAGTACTGATTTTTCAGTCCTTCAGGGCTGATTCCTTAGGATCTCTTCTGAGGTAGGTCTTAAATTTGGGGATTTGGGGATCGTGGCACTGCAGATCCCACTGTGAAGACAATAGTAATCAGCTCAGCCTGTAGTTTTGTTTGTATTTTAAACATCAGATGTCTTGTTACTGAAATCCTTCCCTTGTTAAACCATAGGGACAAGAGTGAATGTTTCTGATTTCAAGAACCAGGAATGGCTTTTTCCAGAGACTACCTCTAATTTTGATGAATTGTTCATCCAGTACCACGGCTTCTGTGCACACGCAATTGGTGTAAAAGGCCTCACCCTTCCAGGTATGCATTGCAGCCAGATGTTCTCCTTAATTGATATGTGCACAAGTACTAGGGAAAATGGGAAGACATATTCTGGAAGTGTCCTCTTCTGTCAAAGATGGAGTTTGCATTTTTTGTAATTTTCACTCCTGAATGATTTCCCCTGTTAAAGAAATATTCTTTAAGAAATATCCAGATAAAATGCCCAAAATAGAAGGTAGGAAGGCTTCAAGGGTTGGTAGGCACAAGCAAGCAGAAGCAAAGCCAAGATGAGATGGATGAATGTTTCCTCTTTGCTATCTGTGCTTGTATTATAACCTGCATTGCAGCTGAATGCAGGTTTGTTTATTGTTGTCAATGCGTTTTCATACAGTCATTGGAAAACTGTCAGATACAGGATACTGTTTCTCTTTGTTGCAAACACACACATCCATGCCTTAAACAGTGGATATTTATTCAAACAGTAGATGCAAAGTACCAAAAGTCTTCTGTGACAGTAATACAAAATTGCACTTAGTGGTCAGCCAATGGTTGGATTTTATTTGGTCTGGGCTGAGGTCACTTGTCTTGAAAGCGAGTCTCGTTTCAGCTACTCCACCAGTTCATGTTTTCTGTCTCCTTGTGTTTTATAGAACCTATCCGTGTGGACTATTTTAAACCTACAGGAGACTGGGAGGAAAATATGGCAATTTCTTGTCAGTATAAACAAATACATAACTTAATGGTGGTGTGAATATATTTAAACACTTAGTGCTGCATGTGAACAGCTGTCCTGGGTTGGACTGAAGGTCTCTCCAGCCTTGTGATTGCTGCATGTGGCAATTCATGGGCACTTGAAGACCATGAGTAATTAAGTAGAAACAGCCCTTCTTGCATTATATTCTTCCCCATTTCAGCAGTCAGAGGTTATAGGATTTCTTCAGATGAATGTTGTGTCTGCACCTTTCTGTTAAATAATCCTCAAGAGAGACTTTTCATTTATCTAATTGCTTTTTGAATCCATTTACAGTTTGCCATGAGATATTCTTATTGTCGTTATGTCCTACAGTTATAATTACCTGTAGTATGAAAAGTACCTCTTTTAGAGAAGGTCTTAAGCTCCAGCTTGGTAATTTCATCAAAGGTTGTTTTCCTATTAGAAAAATTAGCAAGTAGTGATTTTATATCTAATGTTCTACAGGTATGATAATCTCATATCATGTTATTTCTCATCAGTTGCTTGTTCTCAGTGCTGAGGAGGCCTCTTTCTTTGACTCTTCCTTTGCGGAAGAGTTAAGATCCAAACCTTGGATCGCTTCCAACTCACTTCACTTAATTTATATTTTTTAATGAATTGGAACAAAATGTAGTATAGGAAATGTAGGCTTCTATTGTTTTTTTCTCCCCTTCTGTATCCGAATAATTCCTGAGGTTATTCATGCTTTTTTGATTGGCACTGAGTAGTGCCATTTAATATCTTCAGAGCACAGCCTGAGGTGATTCTAGGCCTTTCCTAGACAAAGACAGCCAAAGCAGAGCCATTCACTGCAGTTGAGCTCAATTTGTATTTTCTTTGATAAGTTATTTGGCTGTGATTGACATTTAATTTCCTTTCTTACTTTATTGTCCTGCTTCTTGGCTGCTTATTCTGTTTCTTCGCTTAATTTCAGTGTTAGACCCCTTGGTATAAAGGGACTGCTGATCTGGAGATTCTAGAGGAAACATTTCTGGGTATGGGCAGTGTTTTTTACACCTTTCCCATATGTGTTTCATCCATTGTTTTTCTCACAGACACAGAGTCTAGTCTAGACTAAAGCACAGTGGTTGGAAAGTAATCAGAAGCAGTTGTGATGACCTAAAGAAATTTACTTTTCTCTATTTAAAAAAAACTTTTTCCAGAGATTTATTCTGATTTCAGAAAAAAAAAGTAAAAAAGAAAAGTGAAGCTGACTTGAGGAAAATGTATGACCTTGATCAAAAATACCTTTTGGATTGCATATCATAGTGTTTTGGTTTTGTTTTTCCTTAGGAAATCCTGCTATTGGCGTTCTGAAGCACAAGGACAGATGTTATGTTTTCAGTTCCAAAGAATCTGCATACATTTTTGCTCAAGATCCAGATAAGTTCATTCAGCTGAATGTAGAAAAAGCAAAAGAACACGCAGAGCTAATTCAGCTGCTCAACCTTCACCATCAGTTTGGATACCTTGCTCCTCGTATGCGGGTACTCATTGCCTCTTGCTGAACGACTGTTGGATTGCTGGTTTATCTGTTCTTTCTAGAACATAAAAAGAACAGGGGTGATACTCAGAAGAATAACCTGCCTATCACACAAGATGCCAGTTGGTCCATCTCTTCCAGATCTTCAGGGTGTAGATAAGAAACATCTTCCCTTAATGTTCTCAGCTTTCTCCTACCAGGAGAACGTGTGGAGCTGAAGGATTATGGTAGTGGTAAAAAGAGCTGTTCATCCTTAGCCAAGGAAAATCTTGTGTCTGATGTTTCTTTTCCTCATTTTTGCAAAATTAGCTTAAAGTAACAGAAAGTAAATGCAATTGAAGATATGCCAGATACTGTATTAAGTAGAGCTTTCACTCAGAAGTTCATTTGTATGTCTTGGTTGAGGATGTAGTGATATATGGGACGGAAACTGTGGAATATATTACACAATGAAAAGGACTATAATCTATAAAAATGAATGTGATAGTTGTACCATGTGAAACCCAAGGGCTTGGTTGGGTGAGTTAAACTTTTTCTGTGTTGCATCATGAATTTGAAACCCCTAGCAATGCAAAGAACATAGACTTGACCCTTGGTGAGAAACATGAGGTTTATATCCCACCTCTGGAGAGAATCACAGAATCAGGAAGGTTGGAAAAGACCTAAAAAAAGACTCTAAGATCACCTAGTCCAACTGTCAGCCCACTCCCACCATGCCCACTGACTGTGTCCCTCAGTGTCACATCCACACAGTTTTTAAACACAGGTTTTTTTTCTTTTTAGTGGAGTCAGAGGATCAAAAAGATTGTTGAATGTAAAAATCATTACCTACGTGCAATGTACAGGTTTGCAGGTTTCTTTCTGCTATCTTAAACTCCTGTACTCTTCTCACTAATGACTTGCTTATTGTTTTTTATTTCCATCCAGTTAAGAAGCTCAGACAAACTTCCAATGAAACCAGTCACAAAAAGTGACAGTGGTACTCAAACTGATACTCATATCTTGCCTCCAACTATTGTGAAATCCTATGAATGGAACGAGTGGGAACTGAGAAGAAAAGCTGTAAAATTGGTTTGTATTTTGTTACCATCAATGCGTAGATGTTAAGATGTGTTCAGCGGTTTATCTTTAGCATAAGCAACCGTTTATGTTTTCTAATAGTTGAGCACAAAGAGCTTACAAGCAATTTGGTAGCTCATTGGTTTGATCTGCTGAGAGACAAAGTACTCAGGGTGGTTTATTATCAGCATCTAGCCAGAAAACTTGAAGTGTTAAAATATTTCTTTCTTAGAAGACATAAGCTTAGGCTGTAGATTTTCCACACCTGGGTGCTTCAACTTCCTCCACAGTCACAAGAGATCTAGCTAATGGAGTTTTGGAGACTGTTTGGGTTCCTGATGGGAAGACCAAATTCCAGGCCAGCTTAGTCACTCTCCAGCCTCTGCTGTCTTTGACTTCAGGCTCCACCAACAGGACTGGACTCTGGGAACTTTCTCACCCCTTACTTATGTCGGGGTCTGAATCCCACAGCGTGAGACTGTATTTGCTGTATTTCAGTGATACCATCCTATGATTTACAGTGCTGCACACCATTGGTGACATAGAAGAAGGAGCATACATTTTGCTAACTGCTGATTTTGTAATTTCAGCTCTTGGTAAGAAGAGGTTTTGTCATTGTATCTACAACAGTTGCTATGATTGAGCGTGGCTTTCTTATTGTTGTCGTAATCATAAAACCATGGAATCATAGAATGGCTTAGGTTGGAGGGGACCTTAAAGATCATCTGGTTCCAACCCCCCTGCCGTGGACAGGGTTGCCAACCACTGCATCAGATAAATAACATTATCTTTTGCCTCTTGCCAAGGGGCTAGCTAGAAATGTCTTGAAAGAAATTTTTTTTCCTTTTTATTTGATAGTCTGTGATACCAACAACCAAACCTCATCACACGAGGCACAGTTACCAAAGAAAACACAAAACCAGCAGGAGGCTGACTTAAAATTGTGCAGGCTACACACAGTGCTGATCATTTGATTCTTTTTGTCTCTTCAGGCCAATTTGCGTCGCAAATTAACTCATGCCATGCAGACTGATCTCAGCCATCTGAGAAGGGAGAACTCCACCCAGGTGTACCTGCCCAAAGATGTCAGCACCCAAACAAAGAGTGACAACTCAAGCAGTGTACCCAGACCACAGATTTTTTTGGCAGGTCTCCGAGGAGGATCGTCTGCTACTACTGAAGTGGTCAAAGTGGATTTAACAAGACCAGTAGATAAAGCCTAAGAGAAAATGAGAGACTTAAGGAAATGTATTAATTTTATTCAAAAATCTCAGCATATACCTGAATTGAATTACAGAAGAATCATAGAATCATAGAGTGGTTTGGGTTGGAAGGGACCTTTAAGATTATCAATTTCCAGCTCTCTGCTATAGGCAGGGACACCTCCCTCTAGACCAGGCTGCTCACAGCCCCATCCAGCCTGGCCTTGGATGTCCTGTGTCTTTTGATTGCAGGAGCTGACTTATCTGCTGGGGCCTCCTAGTAGGATGGCATTAAGTGATAGAAATGAATCCTGAAACACACAGGAAAAAAAAAAAAAGCAATTTTGAATCAAAATGTGCCAGAAAACTTTAACTTAAACCCACATTTAAATGTGTTATGTGGTTCTGGGATTTTCTTGACATTTTAATACAATGATTACTTGCTGAAACGCTGTCCTTAAGAGCAACAGCTTTGATTTTAGACAGATAGGAGATACAGAGCCAATGCTGCAGCTCCTACAGAGGCACAGCGCTCGTTGGTGTTAGCTAAAACTGATGCCATGAGAGTCATCCAGATATCACAGCTCTGCCTGGAGAGCATCGTCGTAGAGGTAAAACCAGCAGGATGGGATCTCCCCATGTCCCTGGGCTGTTGATGAATGGCCTTCCGTGGCATAGGCCTCATGAGTGTAGGTCTATGCAAGGAGCTGGAGCTCTGTGGGATGCTCTGAGGTCTCTGGTGATTCTGTGGGCTGACATCAGGTGTGAGGTGTGCAGGTGGGCACACAGGACACAAAAGCAACTTGGGGCATCTTTTTTTAAAAAGCTCTGCTTTCCTGTGTTTAAAAAGAAACTAAAACCCAACAGGAAAAGGTTTTTAGCTGTACTTCATTGCCTCATGTTGTACTTTGTGTCACTGGATGCCCGCCTGTTTCCATTTGTTATTCGCTTTGAATATTTTATCTTCAAGTCCTTGCTTTGAACCAACTAAGCGGTATTTACACACGTTCACTGATATAACATTGATGATCCAAACCCCTTTCTATTTCCTTTTACATCTGTACAGTGTGAAGGCAGTAGGCAGCAGCGCACAACAGCGGGGAGCAAAAGCCACGCACCGCACGCAGCTCCTGTTCCCCCCGCGGCGCTGACTCCTCCACAGTCCTGCTGCTACCGGGCGCCGCCGTCCCCGCCGGCGGACGTTCTGCCCGAGCGGAGCCTCCGCCTCTATGGTAGAACGGAGAGGCGGGGCGCTCTAGGCGGCCGCGCGGCTCTCTATGGTGAATGGGAGGAGGGGCGGGGTGCGGCGGGCAGCTGCTGCCCGGCGGCTCTTCCTGCCGGCACCATGTCGCCTCCGAAGGGTGAGCGCGCTGCGGGGTACCGCGGTTCGGAGGGGGGGAAGGAGGAGGAGGGGGCCGACCCCGCCCTCGCGAGACGAAGCGCGACCCGCGAAGAGGGGCGCGGGAGGGCCGGGCCCCTCACCCGCTCAGGGTGAGCGGCGCGGCTCCGCTCGGCGCTTTCCCCGCGGCCGGCAGGGAGGCAGCGGCCTCGCCAGAGCCTCGGGGTTCGGCTGGGGGCGGCCCGGCCCGGCCGTGCGGGAGCGCTGTGCCGAAGCGCCCTGCTGGGGAGACGTGGGGCTGCCCGGCGCCGTCAGCTCACGGCGTCTCGCTGCGCTTGGTTTCAGCGAGGGTTCGCAAACTGTTATTTTTTTAGAGCGGCGGTTATAAGGAAACGCTGCATATAACGTTGGTTCGGTGCTGCGTGGGCTTAGATTGTAGAGACGTAAAAAGCTTGAAATGCAAAGGGTCCGGCCGTCGGTGTCGGCGCCGTTTCGGAGGAGCGCTGCGAGGAGCACACGTGTGTGTCAGCTGTGCTGCTGGGGCCGGGCGGGTGACTCGTGGGGTCAGCCCTCAGCCCGTCTCCAGGCGCTGCTGGGCCCTCTAATCGCTGTGCCCTTCAGACGTGGTTACTGACGTGGAGGAGATCGCATCTGTAAGGAAGCAGCTGATTTAAGCTGTTGTGGGAGTGGGAGGCATTAACTGTACCTCGCGAAAGTGTTATGCAAAAGGAGGAATGAATCACAGCTTTGGCTGTGGTGGGTTCAGCAGTTCATCCCCTTCTCTATGTGAACAAAGCCATTACAGAGCTGCCCCCAGCCTATCCCATGGCTCAGCTCATCAGCAAGGAAATATAAACTTACACCAATTAAGCCACATTTCTGTAGGATATCCAGAATGTGATGGATGATGCCCCAACAGTTGCTGCAGAAAGGCCGTCGCCCCCACGATGCCGTAAGAGCAGGGAATAATGTGCTCATTTGCAAAATGCTTCTGTAGTCACGCCACGTTTGCAAGATTTCTTGAGTTGGAGGTGGTGCTTTCACACAGAGAAGCTCCACTTGGAGTTGGCACTGTTTTCTCTGCCATTCTCTGACACCGTAAAACTGGTGTCATCTGGCCACAGGTAATAAGTAGTCCTTGCATGGCTGAATTTAGCTGAACGGACAGAACATCTTGTTTTCTATGGCAAGTGATTTTCCAAGAAGGCCTTTTGTATGAAGTCCTATCGCTGTTCTGAGGAAACACCTGCTACTAACCTTGGTGGAAAGTAAGACGGAGGAGAATGCTGCCATCGGCTTTTTGAGATGTGTTTCCTGCTTTGCTGATGCTGAGCACTTCCCTCTCTTTGTTTTCACCAATCTGCAGCACTGTTGGTGCCTGACCCCCAAACAGGACACAGGGTGGGCTGCTGTTTGGCATGAGTGTAGCTGAAGAGCGAGAGAGCACAGGAAGACTTAGTAGATAAACGGTTGGACTGGATGATCTTTTAGGTCTTTTCCAACCTTGGTGATTCTATGATTCTCTGATTATTAGGGTAGGAGGATATCTTTTTGTCAGACATGTGAGAGTCTGAGAAGAGACTTTAAAATTGATCTTAGACTTTGTACACGAAGCACTTCACAACATGATATTATCGTACGCTGCTGTAGTAGACTTTAGCACAGTCCTACAGTTGTAGGATGCCCTATTTCTGTTCTTAAATTAAAGTGAGGGGCATGCTAAGGTGTTGTCTTTGTTTCCTTTCAGAAAATGTCAGCCTGCTGTACAAGCTGTACTGCCTCACAGTGATGACCCTGGTCGCTGCCACATACACCGTGGCACTGCGCTACACCAGGACGGTGGGAGCAGAGCTCTACTTTTCAACTACAGCTGTGTGCATCACTGAAGTCATCAAGCTGTTCCTCAGCGTGGGTATCTTGGCTAGGTGAGTGTGGGGATGCCAATGGGCGTGTGGAAAAACCAACCACTTCTACTCACCTCTCAGTTACTGAGGTGCAGCTGTGTCTGAGTGCATTATGGGGGGGTGACACTGCAAAGTGCTCTTAGTGTGGGGCAGGGCTCGAGTCCTCCTCAGCTGCAAGTTCTTTGTAAACAGCATGATGTTCAGGTGTGTCCTGTCTGCCTGTATTTGTGTGCTTTGGAGTAGGTTCAAAATGTCAGCATGGGTTATCTGCAACCAGTCTTGTAGAATTTTGGTGTAGTGTGGCTGAGCCATGGAATACTGAATTATGTAAAATTGTTGTGTTCCTACTCATAAACTTTCCCAAGCTGTGTTATAGAAAGATGTCTTGTCTCTCTGTTAATATAGGGAGTCAAAGCTATAAAACTACAGTGACCAGTGGGCCTTCTGTAATGCCACCTGTTCATCTCTGTTGTGCCTGTGAAATGAGTTCTGCAATATCATTACACAGTAAATGGAAAAAGTAGTTATTTTATGAACGCTTTGGCTAGTATTTTCACTGTATTCTGTCATCCTGTGTTGAAAGCCATCATGACTGATCTTTCCCTCTTCATGTTTGCCATTTTTGTTTTCACGTCTGTATTGTTTTTCATTTTTCTGGTATTCTTCTAAGCCAGTGAGCCTTAGTTTGGTTTATGTGTGATCATGCTAGTACCCTTTCTGACAGCTTTTCTGGTATTACTACATTCCTTGAACCAAGATCCAGAGCTGTGTGCAGCACTCAAGGTGTGAACGTGCTGTTGCACGGTGCAGGGGAGTAGAGGTACTCCCTGGCTTGGTGTCAGTTCCTTTCTGAAGAAGCCTTGGAACACAGCTGAGCTGTGGGCTGACGTGCAGGAGAGCTGCTCGCATCTTTTTTCTAAGTGCCAGTAGCAACTTTCAAGATGGTTGCTCTGTTTTGAGGACGTCATCTCTTAGGATTATTTCTCAGTTTTTTGGTAACTGAGTTTTATTTGCCATTTAAAATGGGATTAATGTTACCAACCAAGCTTTTTGAAAGTTAAGATATCTATTTTGATCCGGTCAGCTATTTATTTATTTTCTCCATGGTTAAGAGAGGGAGATAATGAACAGCACCACCACCAGCAGTGTCCATCAGGCCTTGCTCACCTGGTGGGCACCTCTTCCTGGTGGGACGTCTTACTTGCTGGCTGGTCTGGATACCATCCTTTGCTGTCCATATAACTGAACTGGTTCTCACGTAGCAGAAGAACTGGTGAATTCTGCTTGGTGCAGTGAGAAACCCTTCAGCAGCTACTGAAAGTTCTGTTTTGGATACCATGTATAATGTCATATAGTCAGCAATATCCCGGTCATGTCCCCTGTTAGACCACTTATGAATATGTTGAACAGTTCCAGCACGGCTTCCTGCAGTGCCTGCCTGATGGCCTCCTCCAGGTTTAGAGTTCTAACCAATTTGTCTCCCTCAAGGCAAGGTGCCTTTGTAGTTTAATAGCCACTTAAATCACCGTGTTCAGTTTGGTTGGATCCATCCCACTCCCTTTTCTTTTTGAAACATCCAGCCTGACAACCTCAGTACACAGGATACTGCAGTGTGACTCTTGCTTTGTTCCGGCTGCAGTTTGTTTTCGTACACGTTCTTATGCTACACTTCTGCTGTGTTTGCTTTCTTGGGTTTCTCCTGCAATGCATATTGAATGAATGAAGTCATAGGATTGTCTTTCAGAAGGGAGGGTTGTGATGGTTTAAGCTGTGTAATTATTTACTCAACTGTACAGTTATGGGAAAAGACTCGTATTTATTTCAAGTCCAGCTGGCCATTTGGTAATTATGTTGGCCATGTTCTTGGGTGGTACATAATTTCTTAGTAATGGATCAGGAAGAGCTCATTTGCAAACAACAGTTTTAACATTATTATTATTTTTTTTTAACAACTGAGTATTCTTAATGCAGAACTAATTTCTGTTAGTATCTGTTAACTGTTCAGGCCTCTGTAGAAAACAGAATACATTTTTAAAGTCTAATGTAGATAGATGTCTAGAATACTGAGATCAAGCTGGATCATTTTCTATTTTACTTATTTTGCAACATACATCTTTGGGCACATTGTTTTGCATTATAAACTATATATAGAAAAGGCTTTTTAAAAATTCTTTTTTGCTGTTGCTGTTGTGGTTAAATCTCTTTTCACATGGCCTTTTTGTAATTTGAGTCAGAGATTCTCGGTTAAGACATGCTCCAGAAAGCAAACCCACCCCAAAGATGAGCTATAATATAGTACTACTTCTTCTCAACAGCTGCAGTGAAAAAAAAAGAACTGCTTACTGGGCATCTGTTGTTCTTCATTGATGAAGTTCCGTGCCAGAAGTCTAAGTGGACATAAGTAGCTCTTGCTGCTGTGGTTTGTCTTGGAACAGATGCTCAGCTAACTTACTGAATATAGGTGGGGACAGAGGCAGGTGTTGTTTAAATGTTATTTTCATGTTCAACCACCTATCTTAGTAATGACTTCTATTAATACCATATGATATTTTCTAACTTCCTAGTCTTACAGAGTGGAACTATATATATGTGGGTGTGATAATTATGGAATCATAGAATGGTTTGTGTTGGAAGGGACCTGTAAGATCATGTAGTTCCAACCCTTGCTGCAGACAGGCACAATTCCCATTAGACCAGGTTGCTCACAGCCCCATCCAG